ACCATATAGATACGCATGTATATACATATAAATTCATTGATATACTTTTGTACGTATTTACGTGCCATTTTATTTAGTTAATGCTTCGCAGAACTAATTTCTTAACGAATATTATATTTTCAATAAAACAAGTTTTGTAATTAAAAAGGGGCAATTATGGACTAAAACAACCATTTTCTAAAGTTTTATTTATTGTTTATGTGAATAGATTACATTATTACAATATTTCATGTAAAATATGTTTATATACAAAATACTATATACAATATACAAAAGGCACAATATATCTACATTCTTTAGATCATGTATAGCAAAATGCAAATGAAGTATAATTTAGATATACAAATGACTATCGCTAACAGACATTAAGTTCTATTGTTTTATACATATATATTGCGAAATGGAAATGGTAAAAGACTTCGAAATCGTATAAGAATTCCGTAGAAAATATCTTCAATGTAAAAGACATCTGAAAATTATATACGAATAATTCGTATCACCGTGTGTAGCTTAAAAATCTGCTCGCTTCGTTTTATAAAAATTCTACGGCATTAATACGAACTTACAAGAAAATATTTGTCAACGACAGAAATTAGTACAAATATTGTTCGTTGCTATTAACTTATTTAAGATTCATTATTATATACTTTATAAATATTTGACTTAACATGATTAATGACTGACTTGTTGGCAGGCTGCAAAACGTAGAGTAGCATTAAAATATTTTAATTTAAAAAGTTATTTTTTTGTATGATTTTAGAGATAGATTTGGGAGAATAAAGACAGAATGGAAATAAGACGTAAATTGTAAACCAAATCCATTTCTTGATTGTAAAATCGAAATTAGTAAATGTATCATCAAAAAAGTTTAAGTAATCATTTAATCGTAATAATTTTACGCATTTACAGTAAATTACACACAGTGCTACCCCCTAGCTTTTGTTCGTTGTAATTGCAATTTGTCTTTTTAACTTAAATGCTCTCATGATCGTAGTAAGATCGTAATAAGACAATCGATCGTTTTACAAATGTCCGTCTCTCATGATTTGAGAATGTAGGTATGCATATAAAAGTACCTAATGCAAGTATAATACAAATCATAATAAAATCGTTTTAAACGTATGTATATATATATATTTATATATAAAACACTGATGTATCATTGTCAACGATATCATAATCATAGAATATATCAATTCCGCTTTCTTTCTTTTTATTTCACGTAGATTGAAATGTATAAAATCGATTAGATTGAACAGATTCAAATAATTTCAACGCCTTTAAAAATATGAAAATCACCGTCTCTTTAATTTTCGCGACATACTATCACAAAGTTACTATGCCTTCACAGTCCACACTACGATAAAACGTTCGAATATGTTGCGTGTTACGATTTACGGTATTTTATTACTTGTTTACTTTTCAATTAATCCACAACAGCACGATACACGGTGCAATGTACATTGGTGTATGACAATATTTAATAACAGTTTCCTTTGTCCCAAAGAAACTTCTAGTGTAACATGTCTGTAATACTTTCTCTGAACTGATTCCAAAAAATATGTTTAAATCTTTACAAAATAAGTTATATCTTTTAGAGAAACATCTAACGAGAAGGGAACTGAAAGTAAAACGTGCTATTTAAGAAACATACTCCTTTCGAACGTGGATAGTAATTCGCTTACAAAATAAATCGAATTATAAGAATTTATTATTGATCGAGTGAAATTTCTAGAGATTTTTAATTTACATTATGCTTTGATGTCATTGTACTACTGTAGTATGAAGAAGTAGTACTTCTGAATGTTGACTATTGTCCAACACTTAGAATACCGAAATCTTGATCTTTAATTTCATTTACCTCGAAAACGAGTAACCTTTTACGTCCAAACGAAGCGTGTCTCTCAAACAGGACATCAAGACCTACAGTTAGAGGTATGACTGATTAAATAAGCGTGTTCCTATTTCTGGTTCTCTCTATATAAGTACCATGAAAGTTTTGCATAAGTTCAAGATATTTTTTACATACACATTCTATCTACGTGGACTCCCAAGGTTGCTGGTCTATCAAGAGTATATTTTCCTTTAAAATATTTCTATAAAAATTCCGAATGTTACTCTTGATGAGTACTGGTAGTAGAGGCCTTTAAATCCGGATTACGTATCCGGATACGTGAACATTACAATTACTGTGAACCGAATACACGTGTATTATCATTAATCCGATAATGATAATTTACCCAATTAAAACAACCTTTTACATATATATATTTTGTATATAACACCAAAGCATCATAATTATTTCTGGTACCATTGCTAATATACCAATTCAAATTATTCTTCTTTTCATTCTTTGATTTAAAAGTGTCAACAAATTAATTACACATGTTATCGAAAATTTTCAAGAGGTTAACCTTATATTTTTCAGCGCATTTGCTAGTTTTTTGTGAATTTAATACAATAATGAATTTTGAGAACAAAATTATTAAAATAAATTAATCCTAAAATTAATAGTTAAATGGTCTGTTCAAAGGAGAATAAATTCAATAGTTTATTATTCAATGTTAAATTATAATATCTTAGGAAATATTAATTTTTGGATATCTTAATAGTTAGAAATTGACATTACAAAAAATATTACATAATCAGCTTGAAGGCTTTTCTAAACCAAAAGATTAAAAAGAAGATAATTTCAAATGTCTAGTAGTACCAGATATAATTAAAGTGGTCGAGGTATTCACATGGTATACTCCAAACCTGGACAATTTGAAATGAAAATAAGAACTATCTGAAATAATATTTCAGTCTTTTATTTTTCACAGCGTTATTATGTTGACAAGTATTTCAAATAAATCTCAAAATAGCAAGTTCTTACAATGTTTATACAAAGAATAAATATTATTTGGTTTAATTAAATATTTACTCGTTGTTTGTAAATAGAGAGTTAATGATTATTTTTAATGATAAATTTTAACCTTATTTTTGGCCATACAATGTGCTACCAAAGTTTTCATGAAAATCTATTGAACACCCTGTGTATTTGTGATTTATATAAATTATAATCACATCCTGTAATTGAAACTATAAATACGAATAATAAGCAATGAATATGCAAAATATCGATGAAGTATATTTGTTATGCTAATTTCGTTTCTTTGAATCATTATCATATCAACATTTTAATGACGCAAAGAGATTCGTAGTTTCATTTATTTGAAGATTTCAAAACACATTGGTTTATTTTGAAGAGGACTTAATTATCTCAAATACACAGAATTCTTATTTTCAAATTTTGTCATGAAATAAGATAACGTAATCACATTTAAAAAATTAAGTAACTGTGAAATAAGATAACATGTCTGAAGTAGTATTTCAGAAGTTTCGAGATTTGATACATACTTCGACAAAAAGTTACAAACAAATACTAGCAAATAATGTCATTATCGATAAATGAAAAAATTATTAAAACAAAAAATCGAATATATTAACTTTTTATGAGATATATTTGTAAAAATCGAATGAGGTAATATATTATCATTCAATGCCTTAAGAGGTTAACAATAATTTAAATACGATTTCGCGCAAGAATCGAAGTAAATTATGTTTAATTGTTAACAGGAAAGTAAACACAGTTACTAAAATAGAAAATATGTAATGTAATATATTTACATACTGTTCAAAAACATTTAATGCCAATATATTCAATTTTCCGTTATACACGTAACTAACAACAACATTATTTGTTAACATTTATTCGTAATTTTATATTACAGTGTCCTTATTCCATTACACAAAGTGTTGTTTTAATTGGATATTCAGGTAAAACTAGTTAAATCAACAGTATAATTGATAGATAATTTCTGTATAGCAGGACGTGTAAATTGTATAAAATTTTATATCGTTTACTTTTCAAGCAAATACCCCATTAGAGACGTTAATAGTGTACCTACATTATAAAAAATGTGGTATAATTTAAATACATTCTAAGAATATCAATTAAATCGAACCTGATTAACTTTATAGGAATGTAAAAATATCAGTTAAGAAAATACACCAATTGTCAAAGTTTCTCAATGTCTGTGCATGATATAAATCATGCAAAAATTTGAACTTTCTAACACTTTGTATTATTACACTATATCTAAAACTTCTTATATACAAACACAACAAAATATGATTTTTATTAATTTTGAAAATGACTGATTCAGAAAAAAATTAACATAAGTTGAATTTTTTACCTTTTTGTTTTTTAATACACCGAGAAAGGGAAACAAAGATTTTATGTAATAAATGATCCAAACAGCAAACTGGAATAACTTACATGCACAAGTATGATTACATTTTTTTTTAAATATTTATAACATTACATGTTGTAAAAAGTATTTTTACTTAACACTCTTTGGTTTTATTGTATACATTATTACATAAAACCCTTGGTTATAGTAATGCCTGCAATTCTAATTCAAGACAGTTTTTTAATGAAAGAAAATTTTGAAATGTATAATTTGCAGATGTAACCAAAACATGTTGCTTAACACTTTACGATTGTTACAACCTGGTAGCTCTATTTTGATTATGCTAAATAATGCTGGCTGCCAAACATTTATAAAATATGAAAACATGTCTGTAAAAAAATATTTCCAACTATTTAATATAGACCACACTTGCATAAAATTAAAGGATTAAACATAATTCTGGCAAATTGCTATTAGATACAAATTGAAAAACCAACTTTGTTTGAATCTTTGTATACAAGAAATAATAATACTGATTAACGTAAATTTTCTTAAAGAAATAGTAATATTGAAGTAAGGACCAGTTATCAAAATCAAAGTTTAGCAGAACAGGTATTACTTAATCGTTTAATACAAACTGAAATATTGGTTATTATGATGTTTTGTCATAAATTTTTGTATATAATTTATTGTATGAAATACTGGATGTTTATATCATAAACAAAACACGCGTGTACGTAGGAGAACTATATTTTACTGTTAAAATTATATTAATTTTAATTATAGCTGCTTACAAAATGTAATTTATTGTGAACTGAAAATAACAGAACATCAATTTAAAGGTACAAAAACGACGAATCGAAAACATAATGAACATGAAAGTACAAAATGTCATGTTATCATAGCGAAATATCGAAACCCTGTGTGCAATTCTGAACTCAAATTAAAGAAGAAAACAGTAACTAAAAATTTACATTTGTTGCACACAGCAATTTGAACACAAACTGGTTAGTTTCATTTGGTTTATATGGCATGGATCTAGTATTTGGTTTCCTTGTTACTTAATAATTCAATGTTAACAAAGATAATTAATCTTAAGTAGAAAATAAGTTACTCTTATGTTTGTGAAGACTGGTTACGTGACCAGCATTTTCATTACACATTTTAATATAAAAAAGAAGCGTTGGATTAAATATCTGTACAAAATAGAAAATCTTGGCTAAACTATTAGCAAACTGATCCTTTTTTATACAAATATGTAAAACCATTATTATGGACAATGTATAGAATACAAATTACTATGTACAATAGTGTCTAGTCTTCTTACAACTTTTTAATAGTTATAAAAAAGGATGGAAATGTCTTATAGATACGTATATTGTATACATACATGTACATACGAATAGTGATATGTACATGTATACATACATATATGTACACAGTAAAAATTTTCAATGTATGTTTTCATTAGGCAGTTTCTACTACTTCGTATAAAACTATTATGAAAACGTTTAATTTATCGTTATAAACAGAAGTAATCACGTGATTTACATAGGTACACACACATTGGTATTGTCTTACCAGAACATTCTTCTCTAATCAATGTCCTAATACTTATTTCAACTACAATTTCACTTTACTATGTACCAAACACTAAATGTTGAATGCATACCTTCGGATCGGAAGTTGTTTGATTTTTTATGTACACTTATCATTATTGGAGCATCAGCGATTCCAAATTTCTATGCAAAATTGTATCTTTGACAGCATTGAACACAATTTTGATGTTTTCTGTATCCACGGCAGTAGTAAAGTGATGAAAAAGTGACTTTCTTGGGTCCCTTTTGACAGACACAAACATTTGCAATATAAAATTTTGCACATCCTTCATGGAATGCGAATCTCCCGTGAATTTTGGAAAGTACCAACGAACGTTTGTGTCTGGTGATCTCACTTTTTTGTCTAACAAATCAGTTTTATTTAAAAACAAAATGATAGACACTCCACCGAATATCATATTGTTAACTATCGTGTCAAATATGTTTCTCGATTCCTCTAATCGATTGGTTCTCCTGTAAATAAGGTATATCATTTAATAATTTGATCGTTTTTTTTATAGAAGAATGTCAATGCAATTGTAACACACCTGTCTTCTAACAACACTTGATCAAATTCAGATGATGACACAAGAAAAAGTATAGAAGTAACACAATCAAAACATTGATACCACTTCTGTCTTTGAGATCTCTGTCCACCAACATCGACAAACAAAAATGGGATATTATTAATTTGTATAACAAACTCTGAAATTCCTTTAGTAGCTTTCCTACAATGCAAAATATCTTGATGTGTAGGTACATAATCCTGCAAAAAATTAGTTAACATTTAAAAATGCAATATATATTTTTTAAATTCCTAAAAAATTATAGATAAATTGAACATTACCATTCTGGCAATCCTGTCAAGATTGTCCAAAAAATATTGAACTGAATCACTCTGGAATAAAAAATGTACTTTTAAAGTATAACATATAAAAGCATGTATAATACATAAAACAGTTATAAACAACTAAAGATAGTAACATTGTTTGCTCTATTTCAATGGAATTGAAATGACTAAGAGTATAAACAAATTGAATTTGTTGGTTTGAGAAAGTATTCTAAGTAATTTTTATTATGCTAAAAAGTGTGACTATTATTGACTATTTGTATAATAACTAATAACAATTAGTGTAAGCATAACACAAAACATATTATAACTAATAATATACATAAACAAATATCTTACTAATTGAAATTCTCTTCGTCTATCAAAGGCTTTTCTGATTGATGCATCTTTCCATAAGCTTTGCAAAGCTGGTACGTAATGGAGAAACAACCTAGCATCTAGTACCATAGTATTTTCGAATTTCAGTAATTGGTAACCAATATCATAATTTTTAGAGTTTTCCCAAGGAATATTTAATTTGTCACGAGCATCCACCAACACCTTCATTCCTTTAATTATGTTTTGATAAATTATATGTTGGTATTCTTTGATTAATTCAGGCTGAAAGGAAAAAGAATATGAATGATAAAAAATATGATATGTATAAATGATGCATAATTTTATATGTAAAAGGATTTACATATTTTTGACATTCTTATGTGTAGCCTACAACCTATTTCTCGTAATACAACACGTGTATTTAGAAATTAGAAGCATGATAAGTTGTAAAATAAATAAACTGATAGGAACATGTACATTTAACGATCTACACCATGAGTAGGGAACCTTTTACCATTATTATAAAGTTGGACACTTTATATACTGTCAATTTTATCAAAATTATAAAGAGATACTTACCAAAATATTAACTAATATCTTTTTAGAAATCTAGGAACAAAAGGATAATTTTTTAATTTGTTTTCTCCTTGTTTTATTTATGGATCAAACCAAAAAAAGGACAAGATGCCACCCATAGAACAGTGATTAAATAAATTAGAATGGTTAATCTTTTACCATTGTGTTTATAATTTAGTAATACTAATAGATTTAGTATGAAAAGTAATATTACTGCATTTTGTCTTGGATTTGCTAGTTGGACTTATTAGTCAGATTTATCTGGCTTTACTGTTAGGTGTGACACTCTTATGTAATTATTTGAACAATCTTTTCAAACCAATTATGTACTAATGAACTATTGAGTGACTGAAGATTGTTTAAGGTTTATCCATGAGTTCATCTAACAATTCTAGAATGAAATGTAATCATAATGCTTTTTTACTAAATGTATTATTTATTATGTAAAATGAGTATTTTATAATATGCAAGGAGTTGAGTCTGCAAGATATACATATTTTCAAATATTTTTTCATTAAAGTTATGTGCAGTATTCATAAAAAATAAACAAACAAATGTTAGTAAACATTGGTCTGGAACTCACCAGTTTACTATGGGGCAGTAAACTATTTGATGGCAATTTCTTCATTAATTTCTCCTGTTAAAAAGTAAAAAAAAAAGCCTAATACTCTTGAGCATAAACATATAAGCATCAATGAGAAAACAAGTCCAGGACTTGCTCCATCAAATCAACAGATTAAATACAAAAGGGGTCAGTCAGAGCTTATTCGTAAAAATGATTTGTTTTAAGTTTAGAACATAAACTTAAAACGGTTACAAAAATAATTGGTGTTTCATCGTAGTTATACTTAAATTTGATTCCCAAAATATGCAAGAATATGCAGGTTTCCCATCTCTGGTCCGTACCAAACTTTCTGTTATAAATATTCCTTATAGATTACTTGTACATGCATGTTCCTATCACTTTACGTGTTTTATTCATATGTACTAGCTTTAATGAGATTAAGTTGCAAATAAATCAATTAAGAATTATAGTTAAACGTTACTGCATCTTTACATAAATAGAAATGAGTAACAGGTAGCCGAACAACATTCGAAAGGTTTTAAATGAAAAATTACAAAGACAGTTCATCCATACTTAAGACCTACTTTCTCATACACTCTTAAATCACATGTTTAAGTCAACCGTCTTCTCCGAGACAAGTACTTAAAATCGACAGCTACAATAACATTGACAGAACCTGCAAATTAAAATCAGAGTTCCCTACGCGTGAATGATTCATGGCATCGGCGTAAAATCATTCTCGAGCGTCCGTTAAGGTACGTCGACAGATCGTGTCGGGAACGAAACAATCACGTCCCAGAAATCGAGGATGTCCTACCTCGAATTTAATTCCGTGAATAATTCGCATCTGTTTAAGGAATGTCGACTTTCCGCTCTCGCCCGCCCCGAGGAGCAGCAGCTTGACCTGTCGTCGAAGAGCTTGACGATCCTTCTCCAGCATCCGATCGATCTCCTGACTTTTGTAACGCTGCTCGATCTCCTCGGGGCTGAACTTGAACCGCAGGCAACAAGTACACGACCACGTTAAGGACCCCGCCATCTTGCTACCCTGCTACCCTCCTCTTCCTTCCTTCCTTCCTTCCGTCTTTCCGTGTCAGGCCCGTCCTTCCGAAGAAATATATCCTTGATTGCCAAACACCAAACACGCATACACGCAGGACGCACGTACACACACGCGCGGACACCCGTCCACGAGCGTTCACGTACACGTAATGTAATGCACGTAACAGTAACAAAGGGACCAACCCCTTCCGTAAACAACCTGTTCGGCGATTGCACAGGATCGGCGCACGGTCGCGATTCAGAACCGCATTTCTCACCTAGGCGTAGCCGGTGAACACGACCGCTGAACCCAACGTTTAGCGCACACACGTCGTCGCTTTCGACTCGGTCAGAGAAACTCCACACCTACCGTTAATCGCGAGACTCACGCCGTTGGCTGCCCACGATCATCTCTGGTTCCTCGCGAATTGAACATGATTAAATAATCGTTCTAATTACCGAGGAAGAGAACTAACTCGCGCATCGTTCTCATCGAGCGATGAAACGATCCTCGTCTCGCGTTCCCGATGCAGAAAATTCTTCCTTCCTTCGGCTTTAACGGTCGATCCAATGTGTAAACCATACACCACCATACACCCGCGTTCCGAACACCTGTACTTTTCCGTGCCCGAAAGAGACAACACGCAAAGAGTTCACCTATGTCAAACTACATGATAATAATGCGGGGGAAGAAATATGCGAAACGGCAAACGGGAAAACGTACTCCCCACCACGACGGACATATTTGTTGTGAGATACTGGCGCACACATACAAGAATACACGCACACGCGAAACGGTCCCTGACACCGACCCGAAAGCGAACCTCTTGGTTCGACCGCGTGATCGGTTTTGCGCGCTGTCATTCGTTGAGAAGCCTTTCTTTTTTTCTTTATCCTTGTCGATACTGCAACGACCGCGACGACGGAACCTCTTGAACATCGTGCGTCGATGATTATATGGTTCGGTTACATGGTGGGGAGAAACCACTGGACTTTATTAATACTAGAGACCTGAAGAGCCTGCCGAGAGAGAGAAAGAAAGAGAGAGAGAGAGAGAGAGAGAGAGAGAGAGAGAGAGAGAGAGAGAGTAAATTGGTGGGCAGCTCCGTCCTCGTTGTACAGTCCCTCCTAGAAGTGAAGTAATGCAAGTAATAGGAGATAGTGCAGTCGGATGCTCGGCTCGAATAATCGGGCGAGTACTCGAAACAAACGAGCTGCTCGATTCGAAACCGAGTCGTTTAGTTCGAAAACGAACACAAATTGATCAAGAATAATTGACTAATATCAAGTTTTTTAAATAAATAAAAATACAAAAAAAATGTGGCGCTATCTTTTAGCGTACCGCCCAAATTTGTCGTGAAATAGTTCTCAATTCGAGACGCTGGATGTCGCCACAGACATGAAATTGTTCAAAACATAAATTCACTACTTTTCTCTGCATATAAATGTAATTTTACATTATAGTTATCATAATTCAACCTCTAATTGTTACTTTGTACACAAATAATTCACTAATATCAAGTTTTTTAAATAAATAAAAATACAAAAAAATGTGGCGCCATCTTTCTGCGTACTACCCAAGTTTGTCATGAAATAGTTCCCAACTCATGCCACTAGATGATGCCACATTTTTCCGGTATTTTTGATTTATTAAAAAACTAGGGATTAGACATTTATTAGTATTTTAATCGACAATTATTAGTTGAATTATGATAATTATGATGTAAAATTACATTTATATGCAGAGAAAAGTAGAGAATTTATGTTTTGAATTATTTCATGTCTGTGCCTACATCTAGCGGTGCGGTGAGGAAACTATTTCGCGACAAACTTAGGGGATTCCCCGAGAGATGGCGCCACATTATGTTTTTTTTATTTATTTAAAAGACTTGATATTCGTCAATTATTTGTATACAAAGTAACAATTAGAAGTTGAATTATGATAACTATAATGTAAAATTACATTTACATGCAGAGAAAAGCAGAGAATTTATTGTTTTAATAATTTCATGTCTGTTGCGACATCTAACAATGCGAGTTGGGAACTATTTCACGACAAACTTGGGCGGTTCGTTGAGAGATGGCACCAAATTGTCGGTATTTCTATTTATTTAAACAATTTCATATCAGTCAATTATTATTTTACAAATCAACAATTAGAAGTTGAATTATGATAATTACAATGCAAAATTATATGAATATATAAAAGTAAGAGATGTGAATATATGTGAAAAATTAGTTCTCCTATATATGAAAATATATGAGTGCTATGAATTTAATGACTAATAAAGGATAATTATTAACAATTATAGTGCTGCTCATTCCTCTGGAGTAATTACCTAATTACACATCCCATTCGTTGTTTTAAAAGGCTGGTTTATTAGTGTAATATGAATGTGAGGTCGGAAAACTAGTAATTTGTTTTGTTGTGAAAATCTTATTTTGTACATAAACGAATAACAAGTTTTCGTTTATACATGTTTGAATTATTTAGTTAATAACAAAGAAAATACAAAATAAAATTTGAAAGCACAGTCGTGTTGCATCGATTTTAGTCATATCGATATAAAATAGACGCTGTCGTTTCGAGATATCGATTGGTCGTCTTCAGTCGCCATAAGATAAATAATATGGCGTCATTTTAGTATTTTGTTTTATAGACAACATTAATTGTAAATATCTGTAGAACGTGTGAAGCAAAAGGTAGTGTAAACAAGAATTTTAAAATGAAGAAGTCTCCGTTAAGTACGCCAAGCAGCAGCAGGGCAAAGCAAAACTATAATTGGAAATCACACGACCGTAAAAACAGGACAGGTTATAACTATATTAAAAGTGATAATTATCAGTGTAATTCGTCAAATGAGAGTCAAGCAAATTCTGGAAACGATTTTATTCCTTTGGGCATCAGTACACCAGATTCTAAGGGGCAGAGTGGTAATTGGTATGGTTGTGGAGGTAATCGTAGTCATCGTAATTCAGGTAGCAGTGGACTTAACCATTACAGGAACAACTATCATGCAACCCCAAAATCAAATTTCAATAATTCGTACTCTCCTTATAAGCACACTGGTAAACAATTTTACGGTCAAAAAAAGGTAATTGTAAATAGAATTTGCTGTAGTTTATTCTTATCCTTAGCTTCGCTATGTTGTCTTAATGGGCGATGTCGAATGTGTTTCTTCATATCTAGGGTTACCAAAAGGATGCGCGCAAACAGATTGACATATCGAGATACATAGATGTGAAATCTTTTTTGGAAGATCCTTGGGCAGAGTTAATACAAAACTTAAATAAATCGGAAGAAACAAATGGGGGAAAGTTACTTAAAGTTAAACAGTCTCTTTCACCACAATCCATTTACAGAAATTCTGAAGCAGATTCTGAAAATAAATCTGTAACAGATGCGGACGATTCTCTTTTTAGTCAAGAATCCAAACATGAATCTTCCTTAGATGTAACATTGGGGTTGGATGATACAAATGTTAGCGATACATCTCGAACAGAAAGCTCAATAAATTCAAAACTTGGTAATGTAAGGTTCAGTCAAGAGTCACAGAACGAAAGCTTTTGCAGTAATAATGACAGTGCTTGCAATGATAGTTACGAGGAAAGTACTATTCATCAGTTCTGTGGTTCAGAGGCGGACTTGATTCAAGATCTTATATAACAGTGACAAAGATCTAAGTGCACTGTTTAGAAACATAATTAGTTCCCAGTACAGTGCGCCAGTATGTTATACATTGTACATACAGACTTTCAACTGTAGATAGGTATTGCGAAAGCCATTAAATGTTTACTTAAGGCTTTTGGAGTAAAATTCTAGCATATAGATGAAAAAAGTGACAAAGTTTTTAGCAGTGCAGTTTTCCTTTACAAAGGTAGCTCTACTGCAGAAGCATATCCGATACATATGCAAGATACAATGTATTAAAATTATCTTTCAAATTATATTTTCACAACAAGGCTGTGAAAGAAATGAATGTAGTTTGCATGAAAGGAGTTGTATATGTGCAATTCATTGATACGTACTTAGTACATTGATGAGTACTAAGAGAAGTATGTACGTCAAAGTATGAGGGAACAGTAAACACCAATTTCTCACCACTAGACTAAGTGTTCCAAACCTAGATTAAATGCTGTAGGTTGAATAAAATTTAAATTTGCTTAATCCAAGTCTATAGTAATTGTGTAAGACAAGATTTATAGTCATTGTTGAATGCCCATTATTAATTTTAGTCCCTTAATCTATATGTCTATATGTATACTCCTTACCACACAACATAGAAATATATGGAAAATTAACGAATATGTATTAATATTGTGTCACGTATATAGATAAGTATGTTACATCATATATGAATAATTAAGTAATTATTAATCAAGTGCAAATATACGTGACTTTAATTTCAAGTTTGAGTTAAAGGGTTACACCACCTTTGTCAGTATCAAAACAGAGAGTATTGTCATGAATTGTAGGTAAGAATTATATATATTCGACTAATATGAATTTTATTTTTACGAATAAAGTGTATATTCAGCTTTTAAAAAGTTTTTTTTATGTTTACTTGCTTAATCAGTATTTGAAAATAAAAAATGAAGCAATGTTATTCTTCGAGTAATCCCTATCATATGACATATGGAATATTTAAAATTACAAAAATTGTAGAATTTTTGCCACTGCAAAGGAAGTGGGCTGTTTTCACGAGGTATATTTTTAATATATTTCGTAAATTATTTGCATAACAAAAATTATATGTCGTAGAGTAGGCAATGATATTTAGAATATTGTGCCAATTTCATTAAAACTAAAATATCAGAATTTGAGTTACTCAATATTTTGTTTCACTCTAAAGGTGGCATATCTCTTTAACTGTATGAATAGCAATACTTATTTTTACGTAAATTTTATGTTATTTAAATACTAATTAGTACTTGATTTTCATTCAAATTTTTTAAATAGTAGTATCACTTAAAACAACAAATTCATGGAAAATAATACCTTTGTAAAATTAAAATAGCAGATTAGTACACACTAGATTTGTATAATTGTTATCTTAGAAACAATACAGTAAGAGTTACTTGTTTCCAGTCTTTACACATTTTTACAGAAATTTAGCAAACAATGGATTGTAGAGTGTGATAAAAGTGTCCTACATGTTCGATTAACATGCTAACTTAATGTACAAATGATGATCTGGTACAAAAATTTATATAATTTAAGAAATTTAAATTTCTTTCTAAGTTATAATTTTACATATTCATGTAAAGCATGTTATTCATGTCTAAAACAGCAATTGTATAAACAATGTGTACAAGATGATATTGTATGTAAATATACATAAATTACAATAATATTCATTTTAATATTTGGTACATGAAAGTTATTTACTTTTTTATATTTGCATTTTTATGTTACATTCATTAAAAAATGAACTGAACATTTTACAAATTTTTCACCTGAAAAATCATGTTGCAGTCTATCGCCCTGTCCTTGTCTCTCCTTCTGTTGTATCTTCCTCTCTATCACAGCATCATTGGAGAGACAAGTATCTATCTATCCTTGTCTGGTTCGGCTCTGGTTCCTGCGCACCCTTAAAAGGTTAAATAAAGCTAAAAAAAACGATGCAATTTCTCGATAAATTTGAATGCTTCGTTTCCCAGGGCACTGGCTGATGATTGTAGATTTTGAAAGTAAGCATGTCATGGATATAAATGATAATAACAAGATTAATATTTATAAATATATTTATATTTATTTTAATTTTTCTTTAATTGCCATAAATCAAATAATTACAATACGCAAGACAGAATTTATTGGGTAAAAAGTGTGATTTCGCCGGAGCTATTTAGAAGAGAAAAATGAATTACAAATATTTAAGAGTGAATAGATTTCTGCCTTCTGATGTGTTGATATACGCTCCACTGGAGTAATGTTCATGTAATATTCTCTCTTTACGTACATCGTTCGTTCTATATTAATAATTCATTGTCCACATGCGTATAGGACCGGATATGTTTTCAGATTAAA